AAAATTATAAAATTTCATGGTAGTCTAGATCTTTCGGTTAGCTTCATGGTGATATAAATTATGCATAAATCGGATTTATATTGAGTAAGTTATGAACCATTTTCTGAAACTGCACAGTTTCTGAGTCATTTAGGAATTATGTGTTTAACATGACTTTATATTAATTTTACTTGCTTGATTTACTTGTATATGATTATACACTTGTTAAACGTCTTCTCTGAAAAATTTCACAGTGTTTGGTTAAAGGTATGAATTATTTGGTAATTTTAAAGTTGATTGCTCTGTTCTGAAAATTTGACTGTGTGACTGCATTAAATTAATTATTTCTCTTAAACGGTTAAGTATCTTGATAAACTGTTTTAACTAGGTATAATATACTTATAGATGAACATCTTGTGAAATTTTCAGGTGTTTTGGATATACGTTCTAAGAGATATGAATTTTCAAAGTTGAAATACCAAAACTGTCCGATTTTCTAAAATAAACTATTTTGAACTAGAAAGTATGTTTAGAAGTATGGTTTTAAATTCTTGATCCTTAGTCAATAGAAGAATTAAAATTATATTAAGATATTAAAATAGAATAAGTTGAATTTAATTATAGTTATGGTCATGAATTATTCATTTAAGTCATTATGTGTGTTTCTATTGATTTGGTATGTTGGTTTGAGATTCATTATGTGAATACCGTATGTGGGTAAGTATTGGAAATGGTTGAGATTACTTGTGGACTTGTTGGTTAATTACACTCGTTAATGCTATATAGTATATACTATATGTCATACTTTATATATACGAATATATATTTATATATCCTAGCCTGCGTGGTCGTAGGAATAATTCCCGATCCATGGCTTATATATGTATACTATCTCTATAGCAACCTACGTGGTCGTCGAGTAAAAACTCCGATCCATGGTTTATGTAAATATAAAATATACTATTATAAACATATGTGGGGGTGTGTACAGCTATGTGTGTTTGTGTGTGGATGAACAATAATCTTTACGTGATTCGTATTTCTTTTGCTACGCTTGATTGGATATCATTGCCGTGTGTGTGTGTGTGTACAGCCGTGTATATATTTGTGCCATATGTGTGATTTAATTAGTCTATGTGATAGTATGTGGTTAGTAAATCTTTGTGTTATATTATTGTGACATAATTGTGTGTTATTTGTGGTGTTTAAACGGTAATAGCATTTTGGTCTTAGCATTCATGTCCATGCATAGCATATATTTTTGAAAGTTTGGAAAATTAATGGAATGCTTGAGTGAATACACGGGATACGGTGGGCCGGTATCCAGATATTGTTAAAGAGTGGTTTGATCCCACTAAAGAAACGGGCTCGTAACAGTTTATTGGCCAAGTATGGAAATTAATTTTTCACTGATCCGGTAACTGAAAATGGATTTGTTTTTTTTACGATTTTTAGGGAAAACGAAAATGTGTTCTAAACGAAAACAAGTTTTTACACACGTGTATCACGTATTCTCTTCAAAGTTTGAAAAATTAACGAAATACTTGGCAGAATAAACATCGGATACGGTGGGCCGGTATCCAATAAAAGTTCAAAAGGAGTGGTTTGTTCCACAATAGAAACAGGCTCGAAACGCTTTATAGTTTATTGCTAGGCACAAAAGTTAGTGCTTAGTGAATAAATGGGATACGGTGGGCCGGTATCCAACTAGGATGAAATACGTGGTTTAAACAGAACGGGCTCGAAACGCTTTATAGTTTATTGCTTGAGTACAGAAATTAATTTTCCGCGGATCCGATAAAGTGAAAATATTTTCCATGCATTGCATTCACATGCATTTTGGTTATTTTGCATAATAAAGTGAAAATATTTTAACATGCATTGCATTCACATGCATTTTGGTTATTTTGCATAATAAAGTGAATTATGTGGGTATAGTGTGCTTTTATGACTTATGTGTAATTATGTGCTTTTGTGACCCGTGTGTTGTTGTATATATTACCTGATGTCTAGATTGTCACGTCGGGATTCTGATAAGGATCCTGTTGCCTTGCATTTATATGCGTAAAGTGTTAAATTGATACTAAAGGGACTTTATGTCCGCGAGTAATTTGAGGATTTTATATCCGTATAATATGAAAAAGGACTGTGTGTCCAATATACCAAGATTGAGGTAAACAGTATTATATGTTTATATGTAGAGCTATATGTTCGACTATGTTTTATGATAATATTCATGCTTCGTGGTTCTTAATTTTGGAGAATAGAAGTACTGTATTTGTATGTGATGTTATGTGCTTTCATTTATGTGATCGAATGTCTTGGTTTAAACGAATAAATTGAATATAGAGGACATAGTTGAAGCTTTAAGATTATCCCTACACGAAAGAACATAGAGCCGAGGACTTTAGGGCTCCTATGGACACCTAATTATCAATTTGTACCTACAAGATACTAAATCCACCAATTAAAACAGAAATATAAATTAATCCATAAAAAAATCCACGTAAACGTAAAGGTTGAGAGTTATTTCCACACTCCACTGTATCTTTTGTATCTAGTGTTTTTGCTATTGTTTGGTTATGCGTATTAAAGTCCTAGTGTTGTATTTCGTGTGTTTAAGAACGTTGTTGCGAATGCACTTTTGCGCATGTATTTTTACATGTACGTTTGTGCATGTCCATTTGAGCGAGTGTGTTTGTGCATGTTTGTTGATATGTATTAATGTCCTAGGAATGTAGTTTGTGTTTTCATGATCCTTTTTGCGAATGCACTTTTGCGTGAGTACTTTTGTGCATGCTTTTGTAATTTTACTTACGTGCGTATATTTTGTAGCGAGTGTTTTTATGCAAGTTTCTTGATTCGCATTCATGTCCTCGAACTGTAGTACGTATTTTCATGATCGCTTTTGGATTCCAATTTTGACCATGTTCGAGTCCGAATTTGGAAATTTGACATTAGACAGGAATTGTAGCCAGCTAAAATAGCTTTCTAATGCCGCCGGAACAAGTTGATTTGGAGTCCGGATGAGAAAGTTATGCCCGACTTCGTGGACACTACCGAAGATGTTGAGGGATCCTCTCATCTAATTTGATATTATTTTCCTAATTGCAACTCTTTTCTTACTCTTTGATCATTTTTGCTTCATGGACACCTAATTATCAATTTGTACCTATAAGATACTAAATCCACCAATTAAAACAGAAATATAAATTAATCCATAAAAAAATCCACGTAAACGTAAACGTAAACGTTGAGTGTTATTTCTAAACTCCACTGTATCTTTTGTATGTACTGTTTTTGCTGTTGTTTGGTTATGCGTATTAAAGTCCTAGTGTTGTAGTTCGTGTTTTTAAGAACGTTGTTGCGAATGCACGTTTGCGCATGTTTTTTTACATCTGCGTTTGTGCATGTCCATTTGAGCGAGTGTGTTTGTGCATGTTTGTTGATTTGTATTAATGTCCTAGGATTTTAGTTTGTGTTTTCATGATCCTTTTTGCGAATGCACTTTTGCGTGAGTACTTTTGTGTATGCTTTTGTACTTTTACTTATGTGCGTATCTTTTTTAGCGAGTGTTTTTGTGCACGTTTCTTGATGCACATTCATGTCCTCGAACTGTAGCACGTATTTTCATGATCGCTTTTGGATTAAAATTTTGACCATGTTCGAGTCCGAATTTGGAAATTTGAGATTAGACAGGAATTGTAGCCAGCTAAAATAGCTTTCTAATGCCGCCGGAACCAGTTGATTTGAAGTCCAGATGAGAAAGTTATGCTCGACTTCGTGGACACTACTGAAGATGTTGAGGGATCCTCTCTTCTAATTTGATTTTATTTTCCTAATTGCAACTCTTTTCTTACTCTTTGATCATTTTTGCTTCATGGACACCTAATTATCAATTTGTACCTATAAGATACTAAATCCACTAATTAGAACAGAAATATAAATTATGTAACACCCTCCATGAATTTCAGTTAAAGAAGAAATATTTTAGTGGACTTTAAAAATTTCGGATCAATTTGAACTTTGAGAAAACCTTATCAAATCATTTTTCTTTACTTTAAATATACCCACAACTCAAAGTTTCGATTTTCATAAAGAGTGCTACCTAAACATCATCGGGGTTTAGAAAACACTTGTAAGACAGCGGAAGGAAAATAAAGTTGATTTAAATACCCCCGTTGAATAGACCAGATTCCTAAATCAGAGTAAAATATAATCGTGAAAATCTCCATTTTTGTACATAAGACCTTTTTATAGACGAAAGTGAAAACATGATATTTTACGAAATCCGGGTAAGACATGCAAGGCATCAAGGTTCGTGATTCCTCGAACTCCGCTCCGCTGCGCACTCTGATTACTTCGAGAACCTGAAAAGGGGAAATTCGCATAAAGCGTGAGCCCAACCACTGGCTCAGTAAGAACATTGGCCTGACGATACTCACGCCTCTCTCAACGTGTCACTCACGTCCTATAGGAGCCCTAAAGTCCTCGTCTCTATGTACTTTCGTGTAGGGATAATCCTAAAGCTTCAACTATGTCCTCTATATTCAATTTATTCGTTTGGACCAAGACATTCGATCACATAAGTAAAAGCACATAACATCACATACAAATACAGTACTTCTATTCTTAAAAATTAAGAACCACGAAGCATGAATATAAAACATAGTCGAACAAATCGCTCTACATATAAACATATAATACGGTTTACCTCAATCTTGGTATATTGGACACACAATCCTCTTTCATATTATACGGATATAAAATCCTCATATTACTCGCGGACATAAAGTCCCTTTAGTATCAATTTAACACTTTACGCATGTAAATGCAATGCAATAGGATCCTTATCAGAACCCCAACGTGACAATCCAAACATCAGGTATTATACGACAACATGGGTCACAAAAGCACATAATTACACATAAGTCATAAAAGCACACTATACCCACATAATTCACTTTATTATGCAAAACAACCAAAATGCATGTGAATGCAATGCATGGAAAAATATTTTCACTTTATCGGATCCGCGGAAAATTAATTTCTGTACTCAAGCAATAAACTATAAAGCGTTTCGAGCCTATTCTGTTTAAACCACGTATTTCATCCTAGTTGGATACCGGCCCACCGTATCCCGTTTATTCACTAAGCACTAACTTTTGTGCCTAGCAATAAACTATAAAGCGTTTCGGCCCGTTTCTATTGTGGAACAAACCACTCCTTTTGAACTTTTATTGGATATCGGCCCACCGTATCCGATGTTTATTCTGCCAAGCATTTCGTTAATTTTTTCAAACTTTCAAGAGAATACGTGATACACGTGTGTAAAAACTTGTTTTCATTTACCATAAAATCATGAAAAATCCATTTCCCGTTTACCATAAAAATCGTGTAAAACACATTTTCGTTTTCCCTAAAAATCGTAAAAAAAACAAATCCATTTTCAGTTACCGGATCCGTGAAAAATTAATTTCCATACTTGGCCAATAAACTGTTACGAGCCCGTTTCTTTAGTGGGATCAAACCACTCTTTAACAATATCTGGATACCGGCCCACCGTATCCCGTTTATTCACTCAAGCATTCCATTAATTTTCCAAACTTTCAAAAATATATGCTATGCATGGACATGAATGCTAAGCCCAAAATGCTATTACCGTTTAAACACCACAAATAACACACAAATATGTCACAATAAAATGCTATTACCGTTTAAACACCACAAATCACACATATGGCACAAATATATACACGGCTGTACACACACACACACACACGACAATGATATCCAATCAAGCGTAGCACAATAAATACGAATCACGTAAAGATTATTGTTCAATCACACACACACACACATAGCTGTACACACCCCCACATATATTTATAATAGTATATTTTATATTTACATAAACCATGGATCGGAGTTTTTACTCGACGACCACGTAGGTTGCTATAGAGATAGTATACATATATAAGCCATGGATCGGGAATTATTCCTACGACCACGCAGGCTAGGATATATAAATATATATTCGTATATATAAAGTATGACATATAGTATATACTATATAGCATTAACGAGTATAATTAACCAACAAGTCCACAAGTAATCTCAACCCTTTCCAATACTTACCCACATACAGTATTCACATAATGATCTCAAACCAACATACTAAATCAATCAAAACATATAGATAGTAATAATGACTTAAATGAATAGTTCATGACCATAACTATAATTAAATTCAACTTATCCTATTAGCTTAATATTAGCTTAGTTCTTCTATTAACTAAGGATCAAGAATTTAAATCCATACTTCTAAACATAGTTTCTAATTCAAAATAGTTTATTTTAGAAAATCGGACAGTTTTGGTATTTCAACTTTGAAAATTCATATCTTTTGGAACCTATATCCAAAACACCTGAAAATTTCACAAGATTTTCATATATAAGTATATTATACCTAGTTAAAACAGTTTAGCAAGAGACTTAACCGTTTAAGAGAAATAATTAATTTAGTGCAGTCACACAGTCAAATTTCTAGAACAGAGCAATCAACTTTAAAATTACCAAATAATTCATACCTTTAACCAAACACTGTGAAATTTTGCAGAGAAGACGTTTAACAAGTCTATAATCATATCCAAGTAAATCACGCAAGTAAAATTAGTATAAATTCATGTTAAACACATAATTCACAAATGACACAGAAACTGTGCAGTTTCAGAAAATGGTTCATAACTTGCTCAATATAAATCGGATTTATGCATAATTTATATCAACATGAAGCCAACCGAAAGATCTAGACTAATATGAAATTTCATAATTTTATCTTAGGGATTACCCGATCAGACATGCAATACAAACAGAGGATATGAAACTGAAATTCAATTAGTACTCATCAAGAACTTTATCTTCTAAAGCCCAAAATTAAAACCACAAACATATAATTCATTAAGACACATATAATTCATATTAATTAGGTTATTATTTCAGTAAAGACCAAGAGGTCCTTACCCATGAAAATCAAAGGCTAAGGAAGAGAAGAAACCAAGAATTCAGGGAGTTTTTGCTTGGAAGTCTTTGGGCTTGACATAGGTGGTAGTGGATTGCTTTGGAGCTGAGTTTTGGAGAGATTATATGGTTGTTTCTTTGAGTGTATTTGGGGAATCTCGAATTTAGGGAGATAGAGGCATTTTGAGAGGATTTTAGAAGAGGAAAGGAGAGACTTTTATGAAGAATCTTGAAGGTTTGGAAGTGGAAGATGAATTCTTCCTTTTGGGGCTGTATTTGGACGAGAAAAGAGGAGAGAAGGGCTGATTTTGTGTGCTGAAAATCTGAAGAGAAAGAGTCTATTTATAGGAGAGTAGAGGGACTTACTTGCAATATTGGAAACAAGGGGGTGTAGATAGCAATTAGGAAGACATGGACACATGGAAACCAACCACAAATCCAACACTCCCAACTTATACACACGGCACTTTCACAAAACACAAAGCACATGCACACACAACACCTATACATATACACATCTATACGTAAATAATATTAAAAGAATAAAAGATAAATGGTGTGGCATTTTTCTATGCTCTTACCGAGAGAGAGAGGGGGGAGAGAGAGAGAGAGGTCCTATGTCATGTATGTCACATACATATGCATCAAATAAATATGCACATAAACATACATACATACACACATGTAAATAAATCCTAGCACATATAATATATCATATCATAAACATACACATTCACATAATATAACATATATAATTAAGTCCACATCATATATTATATATTAGCATAAAATATATACGCACATATACAATCCCAATTAGCATGACTTACATAGATGGTCACTTAATTCATAAATATCATAATTTATAAAAATCACTTAAACTTAGAATGCATTGAAATTACAATTAATCCATGAATGTATATTCATCATAATCTCATATAATGCATGTAAGAATTTAAGGTGCATAGTATTTACTAATTAATTCATGAAAGGTAATGTATGTATTGAAATCTGCGTATCGATAATTTATTCAATAAATCCCTATAATATGCTTATGAAAATGTGGGGTGTTACAAATATATCCATAAAAAAATCCACGTAAACGTAAACATTGAGTGTTATTTCTACACTCCACTGTATCTTTTGTATTTAGTGTTTTTGCTGTTGTTTGGTTATGCGTATTAAAGTCCTAGTGTTGTATTTCGTGTTTTTAAGAACGTTGTTGCGAATGCACTTTTGCGCATGTTTTTTCACATGTATGTTTGTGCATATCCATTTGAGCAAGTGTGTTCTTGCATGTTTGTTGATTTGTATTAATGTCCGAGGATTTGAGTTTGTGTTTTCATGATCCCTTTTGCGAATGCACTTTTGCGTGAGTACTTTTGTGCATGCTTTTGTCCTTTTACTTATGTGCGTATCTTTTGTAGCGAGTATTTTTGTGCACGTTTTTTGATGCGCATTCGTGTCCTCGAACTGTAGAACGTATTTTCATGATCGCTTTTGGAATCCATGTTTGACCATGTTCGAGTCCGAATTCGGAAATTTGACATTAGACAGGAATTGTAGCCAGCTAAAATAGCTTTCTAATGCCGCCGGAACCAGTTGATTTGGAGTCAGGATGAGAAAGTTTTGCTCGACTTCGTGGACACTACCGAAGATGTTGAGGGATCCTCTCTTCTAATTTGATTTTATTTTCCTAATTGCAACTCTTTTCTTACTCTTTGATCATTTTTGCTTCATGGACACCTAATTATCAATTTGTACCTATAAGATACTAAATCCACCAATTAAAACAGAAATATAAATTAATCCATAAAAAAATCCACGTAAACGTAAACGTAGAGTGTTATTTCCAAACTCCACTGTATCTTTTGTATGTACTGTTTTCGCTATTGTTTGGTTATGCGTATTAAAGTCCTAGTGTTGTAGTTCGTGTTTTTAAGAACGTTGTTGCGAATGCACGTTTGCGCATGTTTTTTTACATCTGCGTCCATTTGAGCGAGTGTGTTTGTGCAAGTTTGTTGATTTGTATTAATGTCATAGGATTGTAGTTTGTGTTTACATGATCCTTTTTGCGAATGCACTTTTGCGTGAGTACTTTTGTGCATGCTTTTGTACTTTTACTTATGTGCGTATATTTTTGTAGCGAGTGTTTTTGTGCACGTTTCTTGATGCGCATTCATGTCCTCGAACTGTAGCACATATTTTGATGATCGCTTTTGGATTCCAATTTTGACCATGTTCGAGTCCGAATTTTGAAATTTTACATTAGACAGGAATTGTAGCCAGCTAAAATAGCTTTCTAATGCCGCCGGAACCAGTTGATTTGGAGTCCGGATGAGAAAGTTATGCTCGACTTCGTGGACACTACCGAAGATGTTGAGGGATCTCTTCTAATTTGATTTGATTTTCCTAATTGCAACTTTTTTCTTACTCTTTGATCATTTTTCCTTCATGGACACCTAATTATCAATTTGTACCTATAAGATACTAAATCCACCAATTAAAACAGAAATATAAATTAATCCATAAAAAAATCCACGTAAACGTAAACGTAGAGTGTTATTTCTAAACTCCACAGTATCTTTCGTATGTACTGTTTTTGCTGTTGTTTGGTTATGCGTATTAAAGTCCTAGTGTTGTAGTTCGTGTTTTTAAGAACGTTGTTGCGAATGCACGTTTGCGCATGTTTTTTTACATCTGCGTTTGTGCATGTCCATTTGAGCGAGTGTGTTTGTGCATGTTTGTTGATTTGTATTAATGTCCTAGGATTGTAGTTTGTGTTTTCATGATCCTTTTTGCGAATGCACTTTTGCGTGAGTACTTTTGTGTATGCTTTTGTACTTTTACTTATGTGCGTATCTTTTTTAGCGAGTGTTTTTGTGCACGTTTCTTGATGCGCATTCATGTCCTCGAACTGTAGCACGTATTTTCATGATCGCTTTTAGATTCAAATTTTGACCATGTTCGAGTCCGAATTTGGAAATTTGTCATTAGACAGGAATTGTAGCCAGCTAAAATAGCTTTCTAATGCCGCCGGAACCAGTTGATTTGGAGTCTGGATGAGAAAGTTTTGCTCGACTTCGTGGACACTACCGAAGATGTTGAGGGATCCTCTCTTCTAATTTGATTTTATTTTCCTAATTGCAACTCTTTTCTTACTCTTTGATCATTTTTGCTTCATGGACACCTAATTATCAATTTGTACCTATAAGATACTAAATCCACCAATTAAAACAGAAATATAA